AAATACAAAAAAGTGTATACCTCTTTTTGGTGATACTTGATAGCTAGTTTGAGTCTCGCCAGGTCGTTGTTGTTCTCCTCCTCCAACAGGTTGATATCGTCTCTGTAGTTCAGGATCATCTCCAGCTCCCTGGAGCTCCTGGTCTGGTCCAGCAGGTCCTTGGCAAACTGTTTACACTGCTGAGACAGCTCCTCGTACTCTGATTTGAACTCATTCTCCACCTGAAAGACACGGGCGGAGTGAATACCAGCCTGGCAGCTGAAGCACAGATCAATACATCCAGGTACATCTTAGAGTGCAGGTTTGTCTAGGCAGTGGAGTTTCTAAATGAAACCTTGCCTCTGGCTGTTTTCTCCCAAGAAGCTGCTTTAAACTTTTTTACTTACTGAACCCACCACCTCTGTCAAGTTTTACCAGCTTATATATACAAAATGTATTAAATATGACTGAAATGCATTTAGTTTCAGATAACACCTAAAGTAAAGAGACTGGCAGTGTTCAAAAATGAGCATCTATTATGAAATATTTCTGTGTTGAGTACATAATTAATGCAACACATATTATATTTCATTTCTTTAAATATGAAATCCTGATGTTGTGGCTCCACCATTAGCTGCACGGCTGCCTCGTCCTCACCTTGCTGAGCTCCTGCAGCTCCCAGCTGAGCCTGAACGCAGTGAGGAAGGGGTCCTCGCTGGAGAGTGCGATCAGGGAGGGACTCGACAGCGCTCTGTAGATGTTGAGGCGCGAGCGTGAGTGCCGCAAGCTGTCCACGTCCGAGCTGGACACGCACTCCACGCAGTTACAGCGCACCTGCAACGTCAAACAAAGCATGGACACATGTCAATGAAGCTTTTCACGTGTTCTTTGACCGGAACTTCAAGCTTACTCTGTGAGGACAATGTCAAAGCTGCTCATTAACCAAGCTGCACACACGACTTTGTTTATTCCCTCAGCAGGTGTTGACATTTTAAATACATGTGGGTGTTTAAGCTGATGATAACATCCAAATACAAACAAACAATTAAGAGACGTGTGGTTTACCGACCTCATGTGGCTGCGGCACTGACACGCCTTTCTGCACCAGGAGTTTGATAATTTCATAGTTGTTGGTGTGTGCCGCAAGTATGATGGGAGTAATGTCGGGGGTGAAGTCGGAGAACTGCTTGTCCAATAAGATGGGAGGGACCTGTCGTGGGAGAAAAAAAGCTTTAATCACATATACTGTATCTTAATTAAATTTCTCTCTGTGCACCACATTCGGCCTTGGACTTATGCATCATGTTGCCAATTTATAGACCTCTGAATCCCCCCCCCCCTTCGGTCAAGTTTAAATGATTTGCTCAGAGCACAGTAGGTTGGAAGTAATTGGTTTGGTCAAACACACTGGAAGACCTTCTGTTTACCTCAGTGCAGTTCAAGGGTCTTTACAATGAAGTTAAACTGAAGGAGCACGATCAAGAGAGAGCAGTCATTAGGGCTGGAGCAGAGAGAGTGCCAGTGGGAAATTATCAAAGTTGCGGCCAAAATGTCACCCACACGAAGGACTGCAGTAAAGAGTGCGGGTCCCGGTGTCGTGAAAAGCACCAATATTTCACACGTTTCAGAGGGAATCATTATGCTCAGAGAGAAACTCATTCCACCTACCGCTCTTATCGCCTACTCCAGCTCTGCACCCTTGTGCTAAAGCCATGTCACTCAGCAGCAATACATGGCCGCGGGCGGAGGAATGAGCCGGCCATTTTCACTTCTTTTAATTGAACGCCTATTATCTGATTCTGTGGTGAGGGAGCAGGGGAGGGGCGGTCAGAGCGGGGTTAGAGGATAAAAAAGCAAAAGGTAAGGGCCTATTTAGCCAAGAGACGTTAAAGCCTTTGCAGCCCACTCAGGCAGATTAGAAGACAGACAGGCTGAAAACAGGTGGAACTATGGTGGGACTTTACAATTTAACAAGCACCAATAAAAATGAGGAGAGTGAGATGTCAGCTAAACCTGATTTGTCCACACCCACGTAGTCCTGAGGTCTAATCAGAAAAAAGCAGCGTGGGTGGACGACATGTGAAAGAGAAGGAACTCTCCATGACTACACATCCAGGGAAGTTTCAGAAAATACAATCTGAAGCTTCAAGGTTATGTAGGAGATGTTTAAATGAACTTAATCAGTAGTCTCCGCTTTGTAAGGAAGCTACACAACCATATACAAGTATTCTGTAAAAGTGAGATACTTCCTAATCAATACCTGCAGTGATTGTCATTAAGATTCATCCCCTGAGGAACAAGAACGTCTGTACAAACCTTCGTTGTTTCATGCTACCTTCAGGCAGAACTTAGTGAGCTCATGGTTACGATGTAGGAAGTCATGTTTGGCGTTAAAGCAATTAAGTTAAAGCCACGCAGATGCTAGGCTACGGCCATACTAATATAGGATTGATGTCATGTTTATAAAGAAGCTACAGTGGCTAATGATTTAGAAAACTAGCAGTCAGGTAAGTTATAATAGGAAGAGGGGTGCATTATGAAATTCTGAATATAAAAACCTCTGTGTGGCTAAGAATACAAGATAATAACTTGTCATCTTTATAGAAATGATCTTGTGAACTCTGAGTGTTCAGATAAAATTCAGAGGAAGGAGATTATAAATACACAAGGGGGGGGGGGTCATATGTACACTTCTAGTAAACATGATTTGACATCGTTAGAAAGCGGCATCAGGCTGGACCACAGTGAAGGAGTGACTGAAAAATCTGTCATCTGAGAACCAGGCTACTTCACAGACTATAAATAAAGATGGACGACCTGTCTGTAATTCCTCCCTCTGATGAGAGACCAAGCCGAAATATCCCAGATACAAACGCTGCTGTCTTACGCATTTGGAGCCAGAGTCTGAGGAGTAGTTATCACGGAGTGGATCCGCAAAACAAATAACTAATCAAACTTTCTAGAGCAATGAACCCTCGTGTACATCAGTGTGACAAGAACTAACTAAAATGGAAGTGATCATCTTTGAGAAAAAATGATTTGACGTGTACATTGACTTTTCAGTTTGTTCCATGTCCCAACCATTAATATGGATGAGGTGAGATGTATGGTCGATACTGCAGCCAACCACCAGGTGGCGATTGAGACTCTGTGGTTTGAGCTGTCTACAAACTGCATCAAAGGTTTTTTTCTTACAAAGCTCAATATTTACATTTGGTTTAATTCAGTCTTTTGCTTTTTAAAACACAAAATATATATAAGACCACAGATGTGGAAGCACGTTGAGATGAGATGTGAGATCCACTGTACTGTTCTAAAAATGATTCTCTTCACAGCCGTCTATTAAAAGCACATACAGAAATAGTGTCAGTGAAGCTCTGGCACCACTTTACTCTCAAAGGAACAAAACATGAAGAGTTGTTATCTAAAGGGCCCTGGTTCATTTTCTCCAAATGTTTCATCAGCTATATATATTGCAGCCCAAAGTCATTTTATCACGCGGACATTAGTTGCTCGTGTCATTGACTCGGCGCATCACAGTGCAGCAGCAGCAGCGGCGGCAACAACAACAAAAAGTGGCAGCGAGTAATGTCGGAGAGTTGTCATGTTTTGCAGAGGAGGGTGATCTAATAAGCTATATACTCTGCTCTGTGTGTGGGAGGAGGAGGGACATCAAATAATCTACATCAAACAGCCCTGGCCTGTGACCAGGCAGGAGCAGTGCAGGCTGGGAGATGTGAAGCGATGATAATAGTGGAGAAGAGAAACCAAATCGTAGCCCACTTGTCCGTGTGGCGCACGTCTGTAACTCATATTAGAACGACGCATCCACTGTCAGCACATTGATTAAAAATGCAACATTGGCATCTGCAGGGTGTTAGACTTCACAGTGTGTGTTTGCCTTTGTTTTCACTGTGCTCTTTCCCCCTGTTGGTTTTCACCTGTCAGCGTGCGACATCACAAATGTTGAGATGAAGCTGCAGTAAAATAGGACGCTGCGCGGTTTTGTGCTTTTGAATGACAGTGCGAAAAATAAGCTCAAGTCTTTGCGGGATTCACTGCAGATGTGAAAATGCTTCTTCACAACATGGTCTGTGTTGTATGTGAGAAGACGAGGGATTCCCTTACATAACCACCTTCATGTGGGCTGCACAGTAACCTAAAAAACACTGAGCAAAATGTGCTCTATATAAAAAGACTGATAGAGAACGGAGATTAAAAAAAAAAGACACAAAAGTACCCGTGGGCTCTTCTAATTGAGAAAAAGCGTGAGTTTCAGTGTTCGTGCCACCGACAGATGCATATCTACGCTCAGAGGTTAATGTATGAAGCTATTTGAAAAATGCCAAGGCGCTCCACACTAGTAAACAAACAAGCCTGAAATTGCAAGATTCTTACAAAGGCATAATTCAAGCTGCCTGCAAAATACAAAGACGATTGCACACAGCTCCAGCAACACTTAAAATGAATCTTATTTAAAAAAAAGAAAACTTGACACCGGTAATGGATACGATGCATTTTACCCAGACAGCTTTTTAACACAATCAATGAGCTTCTCTCAGGGAGATTTGAAAGATCTATTTTCACAATCTACTCATGTGATAGGAAGAGACACTATCTTATAAAGACATTAAGGTAAAGAGGCAATGCAGTCGCTGATAGATGTCACATCTAAGGGGTTTGGACCACCGCACATTCTGGGCCCGTGTATCTCAGTCCGCTCCACATCCATTTCACAAACAAGCCGGAGCTATCCCATGTGCTTGTGCTCCATTTTGTTCCCTAATGTGTTTTTCCTTTTCTGTTCCTTTTTTTTTTTTTTTCCTCATTTCGCTCACAGGACGTAACAGGAAGAGCAGTAATATCTCCCCCACAGTTGATCAATGAAGCCAAAAACATTTTGTGCTTTATGGTGCATTACTGCTGATAGGGAGAGGGGACAAAGAAACATGTGATACATGTGCAGTGTGTGTGTGTGTGTGTGTGTGTGTGTGTGTGTGTGTGTGTGTGTGTGTGTACACGTGTGGCGGGTATATGAAAAGAAAACTCTCTTGAGTGGAAAGCAATCAGTGCAAAGGAGTAGCGATCTGAAATAAATGAGACTATTTATTTTAGATTACAGTAATTAAACCAATAAAACAGGCCTTTCTCATCAAATAAAAAATAGAGTTTGTTTACTTTTGCAAATTCTGAAACTAATCTACGTCCTTTGAAGACTAAAATATAAAAATAGGGATGCACTCTATCTTTGGACAAAACATCTCCACATCTTGGTGGGCATGCATCAAAAAATATGAAATTTTGTCAAGAATGTTTTATTTTCTGAACTTTTTTGAAGAACACAATGTGAAATAATATATATTCAGTAATTTGAGTTAAATGTGCACTTTGTTGAATCAGGAATTGTGAATAGAAAATTGACCCTTCTGTGTAAATTGAGGCGCCTTTATGGCCCCCAATTCAGAAAAATCCTGCATCAGTGTGTCTGTGCAATGTCAGATGTTGTTAGATGATTATTTTTATAAAAAACTGGCACAACTAATGTGAAGACTCAGTGGAGCGTGCATTCCTGCCTACACCCAATAGTCACCTTAAATTCAATCAAGCAGCACAGATTTGCACACACAAAGTTTAATGGAAACCAGTTTGGTAGTTTTTGCTAAGAAACAAATGGACGGGATGAAAACCTCCTTAAATTAAAAGCACTAAAACAGGACAATACAATTTGGTGGCAAGTGTAAGGAATTCATTGCGTCAGCTGTTCACCCTGCAGCCTCTTGAGTGAAGCCCTGTTAATGTGAAACCACCTCCACCCCCTCCGCTCCCTCCTCACCTGCATGCCACCACTGGGCTTCTTGTGATTTAGCAGCAGCTCCACAGCTCCCACCACTTCCTTGCGGATGGCGTGCAGCAGGGCATCGCCGATGTAGACGCTGAAGCTCAGCAAGAGCTCGATGATCTCGAGGTTCTCGTTCTCGATGGCGATCAGCAGAGCCGTGCGGCCGAGAGGGTCGATGCAGTTGATATTGATCTTAAAGTAGATCTCTGCCTCCTGACACAAAATAGGGATGTGATCGGGAGTCAAGGTTTGTTTTAAAAGCCACTCAGAGTTTGTTTACTGATTAGAAGGAAAATTACCCACTGGCATAATTACACATTGATTTTTGAAAGAAAACAATTAAACGCCTCAAAACTCTGGCACAGCAGCTCAAAGTAAAGTGGGTTTTGCTTCCTTGCTTTGTTTGAAAGAGAGATGACCACACAACTTTCTGATATCAATAGTAGTTGTTGGAGAATGCTATCGATTTTACAAAACTCACTGTGTTTATAGGTCTTAGGGAGAATTACTGCTTCTGAGAAAAAAGCTATGTGAGCCATACTAAGGGGATGTGGAGCCTATGCCTTATCCCTGCTTGAGGCAGACAGTTCAAGGTTATGTTATCCACCGCTATTGGCGTTTTCTTCAGTGTTTGCTTCAGCTGTGCATAGATCATCATTTTAAAAATAAAATGGAATATTCTGGACACAGGTGCTCCATCCTGCACTTTTGAAATCATTTGTAGCCAGAGTCAGTGCAGCAGTGACTTTTGACTTTTTAGTTTGGTCCATGTCCCATCCAGTAACGCCATCATTTGCAGCGGTGATGATTTTATCTCCACGGACAAGCTAAGCATCTAAATTTAAATTCTATCACAAAGCTTCTATTCCCATCGTCAGACACAACGCAGTTCGATTTTGTCTCAGCTATTTCTTATGTATTTCAGTACATTTTTGTTTACTTTGGGTTTACTGCATTGTGATGCTAATATTACTTTATTTTGGCCTCAGATGTTATTGTATCTTCTCGGCTGCACACGTTCCCAGTAAATCTTCCAATCTTTTTTTAAATCAATCCAATTGTACTAAGGATTTAATATCCTTCCATTTGTCCATCCATAATTTAGTGGTTCACCGGCTGTAATCACTCATCTATTCACCAATCAAATTATCCATTCTACCATGTATTTATACTCCCTCTCTCACACACCTCCAGAGCGTGTTTGACACTAGCATAGTCCCCCTTCTCCACAGCTCCGAGGTAGGCTTTCTCCAGAGGTGACAGCTCCGACTCGGCCCGCACAATTCTCAGAGGGATGCGGTCCCGGTACGAGGAGCTGTCAGTCCGCCGATAGTAGAGCTGTGACATCTCCCTGGGCTTCAGCTCACCAGCGCACCGCTGAAACTGCTGCAGCTGCGGCCTGGCAGGGGGAGTTCACACTAGAGGGGACAGGGGCAAAGATGTTAAAGGAAGAAGCCACCTGTTGTTGTTGGTGATGATTTTTACAAGATAGAAACCAAGAAAAGAGATGAACGAGGAGAAAGGGTTAGACAGATAATAAATGTTTTTATTTTGGTTAACATGTTTTATTTTTATCTATATTGTAAAGCACTTTGAGCTGCGAGAAGTTCTGCGATCTGATTTGTTGTTTAAAATGTACATTTACTGCATAAACACTTTTATGCGTCACTTTCTACTGACTTTTGCAGCGAGATAAATCTTGACATTGACCTTGGAGCATTTAGTGCACTGCTATTGATCTGCATGTCTTCTCAGAATTGCATTATTATAACAAACATCTCTGGGCACAGAAACATTTATCATGCAGCTGGAATGGAAGGTAAGACTTTTAATTCTCCAGCTTCTAATTGCTGTAGTTAATATCATTATTGATGCTTTGCTAATAGATTGACAGCGGTTGACTTGGCGGTTGCCTGGTGACGGCAGCATGGCACATCCAGCACTGTTGTACGCGCCGCTTCTTAAAATAAAACCTCAACAGTGACACTGCGCAGTGATCGGCTCCTAACAAGGTAATGTCCAAGATCTCCAGGTTCTCTGGAATCTGGCAGCGGTGGGATTTGGCCATTTATCAGGTAGAGCTCGCTAAAAATAATGCAGTGTGTAATCCAGCAGTCACTGCATGAACTTCTCCGAAATCACACCACTGAATAATAAATGTCAAGGTAGGATTTGTTGTAGGACCGTTGTCACAGTCTGCATGAGCTTTCCTTAAGTGTACCTAATAAACTCAGACTCTTATTTTATACTGGGTTTTATCTCAATCTTATTTTCCATTAAAACATTTTTTCTCATTGTATGTCTTCATGTCTTTTGTGTAACTTCATGGTTGTAAAGCACTTTGAGCTGCATTTCATACATGGAAGGTGCTGTACAAATACAGTTTATAATAATATAATCATAATTAGTATTAATATGAAGTTAACCATTGCCATGTGAATATAAGAGATTTATTTTCTTTCTGATTTCCTTTATATGTAGAATATGCAACTTTTATGTAACTTTTACATATGTGAAGTTTTGATGAAGTCCATGAAGCAGCGTGGGATCATGGGATGAAAATCTACCTGACACAACGCAGCTGCTCATCGTGTTCACGGATCAGATAATGTATCAAAGTTTTATTCCTGTTACAGCAAAGAATAATCTCAATCCATTACGAGTGAATACCTGGCATCATACGTTGAATGATAAGTAAAGATTATAGCAGAGACGGACAAAGCCACAGGTAAAGTACACCTGTGGCTTTGATGCAATTAAAAGTCGACCAAAATGAAACATCCCTTTACCTTGAATAAAGTTGGAGATTTGAAAATTGAGCTTAATGACATGTAATGTAATTAAAAACCTGAGAGGACAAGAAAACGAGGGAAGGATGAGATGTTGAGAGTCAAGAATAAGAACAGGTGTGTGAAAACTCACACGAGATAAAGTTTATATGTTATAATTATACAAAGGGAAGGAGTGGAAGTGGCTGCAGTGTTTAATGCTCCCCTCCGTCTCTTAGCACCGTCTCAGGAGAACTCATTACTGCTCTGTTTCTCTATCCCAAAAATAATGAGTGGATTAACAGACACATGGCAGACCCATTATAACAACAAGAGCAATATTCTTTTTAAATACATACAAAGGTAAAATTTAATATTTGCTTTCTTGCAGAGGGAAAAATAAATAATAAATAAATCAGCATGGGTCAGCTTAGCTTGGCATCAAGAATAGAAACAGAAAGAAACATCTATTTTAGTTGTATTGAAAGGCTCTAACATTGTGCACTAATTAACACGTTTTATCTTGTTAGTTTAATCTGCATAGACGCTGAAGAGTAAAAACAACATGCTGTGGTTTATAAATGCTTCTCTGCTCGATTATTTCTTGGCCAGCAACTGACGTCGTTAACCTCCTGACTACAGACTTCACAAAGAAATAATCAAACTTTGAATCTATCTAATCATTTCAGAACGTTCTCTCTGTGGCTCTCAGATTTAGAAAGCTGTTCAACTTATCGGCTTCACACTTGGCATGTGTGTTGTTGAGGTTCCAATGAAGTGCGGTGTTGAGTTGTGATATAAATAAACTTTCAATAAACAGAGCACCAGCGCTCTGTACCAGCCGCGGCTGGGATTCATCGACATAAGTGACATTTTAAATCAGCAGCGCATCGAGACAAGAGGAACGACAACTGCTTCTCCAGTTCGGGTTCCGCGACCTGAGTCGAGCTTCTCCAAACTTTGATTAAACAGGTGAACAGCTCTTTGTGCAGCAGCAGTGTAGCAGCTTCATGGTTTACTGCAGTTCACTTTTACAGTTTCAGAGAGAAAACTGCAACCAGCATCACCACAGGTTAAAAAAACCATCCATTCCAGGTATAGAGTACCTGCAGTACCAGGAATTGCACGACCAACTGTAAAACTACAATTTAATGTTTTTAGTCTTCATGTTTGTTTGCACTGATTCAGCAAAGATTACAGCTTGTTACTTAGCAAACTTTATCCCTGAGCTTCCACTCTCTGATCAAAGTTAAGCTACAAACAGCAGCAGCTTGAGTTTTGCCACACAGATAAGAGAGTGCATCAAACTTTTTTTTTCGAACTCTCAACCAGAGAGCAAATAAACACATCTCCCCAAAATCGCAAACTAATCTTCGCGTTTAATTAACATGACTTCTGCAGTTTAGCTTTTCAGCTTTAAGTGTGAGCCCTTATTTTCTGCATTAATGTGATTGTTCAGGTTTTGAATGAGCACATGCTGCAGGAGCAGGAATGTAAAATGGCTGACACAGATAATGACTCCATAAGTGGAGGGTACTTAATGATCTAAGCTACTCTGCTTTCACAGGATGTCACCCATCACCTCCTCTTGAGGTGCCACTTTGCTGCTGTGGAGATGCTCTACGTGCCGGTTAACTTCACTCCACTGACAAATACAACTTCAAAAATCATCATAAAAAGAAAGATAGGACTGGAGAGCCTATTTGGTTGCAGGCTTTAGTATCCTTGGCATAAATTCGACATTTCTCTTTGTGCTAGGTTTATCACAGGGACCCTGAATAACATGAGTAGACATCATGCACTTTGCAGAGAGAGTCCATTGGAAGACTCAGTAAATCCCCCCCCCCCCCCCCCCCTTGCTGTTTGTGTATCTTTGTTGCCAGGAGTGAAAGGTTGCTTGCCAACATTGGTTTACAATGGAAACAACTTTACAGCATCTCTGAAGTTTGTTTTTCACATTCTCTTAAAGTCAGACAAAAGTATGTGAATGTTTTAAGATATCAGGTCACATCACTACTGCATCATGTGATGTCACCTCAGTCAGGTACAGGCCTGTGCTTTATTCTTTTCTTTTCTTAAATACACACTCAGCTGATCGTTGATGGTAAACTTAGGAATGAATACCAGATACTAGCAAAGCAACAAGCAGACACACCAGTATGAGGATGAAATACACACACACACACAGAATCAATACATGATTTAAGAACACAAATGAGCTCTCCATGTTGCACTGCACATATTCATACACTGAGAGTAAAACAGTCATAAAAACGTCAGTAGTCACTCTTGAATAACAGACAGCAGGTCTGTGTAAATGAATACAGGGTGAACGGCGCCCATGTGAACTCACAAGTGAGATTCTGACATTTGTATTTCTGTGTTTGTGGGCGAGAGAAATGTTCCAGGGAAGCGCAGGGATAAAAATAAAAATGGTTGTGGAGATTCTAGGACTCCTCTCTCTGTGCCAGCTGAGGTCCTTCTCCAGTCAGAGGCTGAGGGACTCTAACGGTGCCCAGATGCAACATTTATTACCCAGAGTCACTCATGTCTGGAATGAAACAGCCAAAAAAAATGCAACATTTCAAATGCAATGGAGCAGAAACTCACCTTTGGGCTGATGGACATTGGAAGTTCTCTCAGCGAGATCAGTGTTCTTCCTTTGGGAAATATCCAGACACAACATGAGGACTAATGAAATAAAGCGTAAAGCTTTATCCAATCACTGAACCCAAAGTTGTGGAAGTCAGCATCATCCAGATGTGTGGCTGCAGTGTGGATGTGCGCAGGGACTCTGCTTTTAATGCGCCTTTTCATGCAAGTCCATCTTACTCATGGTTTTTACTCTAGTCTGATTTCCCTTCTCATTTCTGGACACTTCTCCTTCTGCAGATCCACATTCGCTCAGTTCTGATCACGACTTCCATCCGGTCTTATTTGGGGAAGATTACAAAAAAAAAAAAAAAGCGCAGACCTGTGCACACCGCATTCAGCTCACCACAACAAATCCTGCACGCGAAAAACAAGCGAAGTTTCCCCGGTGGATCGCACCTTGGTTCTGCAGCGCGTCCAGTTTCCCCCCGCAGTGTATTTTCCAACGATGCTGTTGCCCACTCGACTTATCCACCTGTTGGGGGCGACTGAGGGAGAAGCGGCGCCTGCAGAGATGAACGCAGAGCAGCCAGATGCCCGGCAGGAGGTCTGCGGAGCGGTGCGCTGCTGCAGACTGTTCCTGCGCATTTGGAGACGCATTGAACACTGTGGCGCTGCAAGAGTGGGATCAGCCGCCTGAAGAGCAAACTCAGCCAGACATGCAGCCTGGATTCAAACCAACACGCTCATCATTATTACACCATTCCACTGCTTTCATCCAGTTTTACTCGTCTGCAGAGAAATACAGATAAAAGGATGTTAATGAGCATTTTAAGAGCCTCACATGCGACTTGAGCCTTTCCAAATGAATGAAGTGATTCAATAATCTTCATGTATCTTGGTCATTTTAAAACCCATAAGACAATTCTGCATGCAACCCCTGTGCAAAAACATTTTAATATCATTGTATTTGATGCTCATCCAGTGAAAACACAAGACAGTCTAAGTCAATGGATATCCATTAGGTTCCTGTTATTTTGATATTTCAGAGTCTGACAATGTTTTACAACCTGAAACAACAGGCTTCATTCTCTGCAGCCAAAAATCTACCATTATGAATGTCATTGTTGAGATGTGTACACAAATCTCTACATGTATGGGACTTCAGTCCAGTGTCTCAAGTTTTTCCAGAGACTAAATCAAGTCCACTGAAGTCACACTGAACATGGGGGAGGATTGATGATCCGTTCTCACACATCTATCAGTTGACTGGTGTCCTTACATATATATCACAGCTCCACATTCATTTCCTCCAATGGTCAACTGATCAGAGGTCAAACACAAAAACCAACATTACTCTCTCCCTCTCTCTCTCTCGTTTTCTTCCACTCTCTCAGTGTGTCTCTCAGTCTTCCTCTTTGTGTTTGTCTGACTTATTGGCCTGTTGATGTTGTAAATTCTTCCTAATAGTGTGTAATGCTGTTGAATATCACTGACTCGTTCCTCCTGTCTGCCTGTGTGAGTGTGTGTGTGTGTGTTTCTGTGTGTGTGGTTGTGTTTGTGTGAGTTTATATTGGCAGCGCTTGCATTTAACCTCCATGTCCACTTCCACACAAAGCCTTTGATCACTCAGGGTTTGAATTCGTGAGGATGTAGATTATTTGACTTTATTAGCTTGTGTCCATTAGACAGATGATGGATTTATGGG